CACTCTTTCAAAGTCTCTATTTTTCTTATTGACAGCAGGGTCAGTTTTGTGGACTCTTAGTTTATCATACCCTATCTGTGTGGAACATTTATTAAAAACAGACCATCTACAAACAGACCATTTGCAACACCAAGCCTACATATTTCTCTCACCTCTGGCCCGAGCATTGCTGCAGGATCTGTAATTGTTGACATTACTTCATTGATTAACTCAATAGGAATATCTCCCACAACCCTTGGTCTTTTGGAATCCTCCGGAGAATAGGGTTCATTATTTTTTCTCTTTTCTCCTATAAAACAAAACCAGGACAAATTAGAAACAACCAAGCTGTCACAGACCAGCACTACAAAGTCTAGCACTTCTATTATATTCTTTAGTTTGTATGCAAAGTTTGGGGTGATTTTTTTAATCACTACAGAAAGGGAGAAAGAAAATAATGAAATCTGAACAATAATTATCACTGCTGCATTTTGTCTTTGCACTGGAATATTAGCATGAAGCAAGTTTAATACACCTCTCCTCCTATACCTTTGTAGTTCACAGTGAAACTATTTCTCCTTTTAGCTTCAACTTACTCTGCAGTTAACCTCTGTGCTGCTGTCTTGGAAGGACAGGTCACAATACACAAATTATAGTGCATACTTCTGGATAACACGAAATCCCATCTTGGGATTCACTGGACTTAGGTGTCCATTATAGATTTCTTTCACCCTTTTTGTAAACCAAGCAGCATGTACAGTCTGACACATCATACATATTTAACTTAGAAAATCCATATAAAGTTTCCAAATCAAAACATACCATGTTAATTATTAACTGCCCTACTAACTGCAGACTGACCTGTAATATAGCAAAAGCAACTAGTTAAACTCATGAAAGAAAAGTCTTCCAAAGACTAGTAGAGTTATAATAATACTAACAGAGCCAGCTGCTAGCTCAGGATTTATCCTAGGAAAGCATAAAAACAGGAATATCACTCCATGGTTAACTTGTTCCTGTATTTTTTCCCCTAAAGATCTGCTAAAGCTCAGAGCCAGGATGCAGAATTTTGCCTTTGTGACCCAGCACTGAGCCATGAGATAAATTAGTTTGGTTTTGTTTGTTTATTTTTGTGTTGTTTTGGTTTTTAAGATTCTCTTTCTGAAACAACCAGATAGTTTAGGGCCCATTATGCCCATTATTTCACACATATGGTATAGATTGTTTTCCAACAGCTATAGCACTCTAAATATATGAGGATCAAATGTTCATTCATTCCCCTTTTCAGACTTTCAAGCAGTGTAACTGTTTTTAATTCTTTGGTTTTAACAATAGAATTATATAGTTAACCTCCCTTTGCTGTGGAAACTTTGATTCCTGTTCTTCATTTCTTATATTTTAAACAGTCATTCACATGTGAACAGACCTTTCCTTTATTTTCCAAGAGATTAATTTCTTGTTTTAAAATAGAATTTTCTGAAGCAATCTGTCAAAAGCTTTCTGTAAATCCAAGTACACAAAACCCTTTCCAAATGCTCACCAAGTCCTTCACAGATACGTACAATTCACAAGTTCTACAAAAGGCACACTGAATTTCCATGCATCACATAGCTCACACATTTATTCATTCTATTCTTCATCAGTTTATTATTGTTTCTTCTAATTGACTGAAATAGGAGACTTAAAATTGACAGTTTCCTGAAGTCTCTTACAACCCCTTTTGAAACTGGTTTTGCATCTGTGGTGTTTCAATTCTGTAGTGCCAAGGGCAATTCCAATGACAACTCAGCTGTATAACTTAATAATTAGGGTTTTAATTCCATATTTCTTTTTAGACTCTCAAAAAAATGTAAGTTTTCCTAGTGACTACTTACCATTCATTTTGCTGATCTGTTACCAAAAAATCTTCTACCTATTCCCACTTTAAAGACCATTTCCCAATTTGTCCCTCAAAGAAAACTGCTTTTTAGGAGTCACGTTAAGTTCCTCCATAGCTTGAAGGCTAAGAATTCATTTAGCTTTTTCTACTTCCTTGAGGACTTACTTTACATAAGCTCGTGATCATCTCTCTGACCTACAAACTTTCTTGACATGCTCATTAATCCTGAGGTGTTTGAAAAAGGATTTATTAGGAAAATTTATGCATTCAACAACTTGCTTTCCCCAAAACTTCTTTTTTTTTTTTTAACCCTGACCTCATTCAGGTTTTAAATTTAACCTAGTCAGTGTGTTTCTGCTTTTCTTTAACACTCAGATGTATGCAATTTCAGTACCTTGAAAGATTAAGAAAAAATAAAATGCAATGGCTCCTTCTCCTCCGTCTTTATTTGAATGAAATCTTTCTTCATGACTCATAATACATGTACTCCAAGCAAAGTGTTTTTCAACAGCCTCTTCTCCACTAGCAGACCTTTCCCCATTTTAATTTAAACCATTTTTTTATTTTACTTTTTTTGCAAATACAGCTGCCATTTCTGCTAGTTAAACATTACCATAGTGGAGAAAAAGTCTGCGTGTGCACGTCTTTTAGCAAAAGCACCTCATGATCTCTATTGCAGAGTGAAGGTAATGGTCCTGTATACTCCAACTACTGATGATATCAACAGAAGACAAAAAGCAAGTCTCCCTCTTCGTTACCTAGGTTTGGGTCAAGGGCAGAAGCAGCTTTGCAAGCAGGACTCATACTTCCACTGTTGGGTTGCTCCAGAGATGAAGGACTTGCACTGTACGAAACAGATCTGGCAACAGGAGGAGGACTGATAACTGCAATAGCATAAAAGACAAACACAAAAAAATCAGGAAATTGAACCCATTAGGTGCTGACGTACCCATGGAGCCCCTTAAGATTCTGAAGGACTTTCACAACGATGGACCCAACTTCACACCCACCACCTCAGAAGTAACAGCTAACGTGCAACAGAGCAACGCCACCAGTTTGCAAAGAGAGACATTAAAGCTTTATCTCTATATATTTTTCTAAGCTTGTACGTAATGAGACTGTATTACTGTTGGATGAGAGAGATTGCAAATATCAGGCTTTACTACTCTGCAGTGCTGAGCACAAGCTAAGAAAACAAACTTTCTTCATGTACCTGCCAAGCCTGCTGGCATTTAGCTTCATGAAAAGGCTTTTTGTAGGGGTCTATTGAGAAGCAAAATCTCATCACTCAGCGTCAGCTGTCCACTTTAACAGTGTTCAAAGAAGGGTTGGACAAATCAAACTCAATAAAGGGAGAAGCTGTTGCACCAGTTAAGAGGATGAAACTATTATTTTAAAATGCCACAGACTAACATCTCTGAGATGTTAAAAAAAGAAAACGCAACACTCACCCCAAATCAGCCCTGCTTTAATTTGTTTCAGGATTTTTGGCAGACAGGCAGAGGGTTGAGGTAACAGCTTGTAGTCTGGACACCTGCAGTCTTTCTCCCTACATGCTTTTATCCTGGTGTCATCAGCACCACCAGCTCTTTTGTGCCATATTCGTGCCAAGAATCCAGTGCTTGAAAGGTGCACATTAGAACCATAGAACAGTTAGGGTTGGAAAGGACCTTAAGATCATCTAGTTCCAACTCCCCTGCCATAAGCAGGGACACCTCACACTAAACTATGTCACCCAAGGCTCTGTCCAACCTGGCCTTGAACACCGCCATGGTTGGAGCATTCACAACTTCCTTGGGCAACCCATTCCAGTGCCTCACCACCCTCACTGTAAAGAACTTCTTCTTTATATCTAATCTAAACTTCCCCTGTTTAAGTTGAAAGCCATTACCCCTTGTCCTACCACTACAGTCCCTAATGAAGAGTCCTTCCCCAGCATCCTTGTAGGCCCCCTTCGGATACTGGAAGGCTGCTATGAGGTCTCCACGCAGCCTTCTCTTCTCCAGGCTGAAGAGCTCCAACTTTCTGAGCCTGTCTTCATACGGGAGGTGCTCAAGCCCTCTTATCCTCGTGGCTTCCTCTGGACTTGCTACAACAGCTTCATGTCCTTTTTATGTTGAGGACACCAGAACTGTACACAAAACTCCAAGTGAGGTCTCATGTGCCCTGAGGAGAGGGGCAAGATCACCTCCTTCGACCTGCTGGTCACACTTCTTTTGATGCAGCCCAGGATATGGTTGGTTTCTGGGCTGTGAGCACACACTGAAGCTGGCTCATGTCAAGCTTCTCATCAACCAACACCCCCAAATCCTTCTCCACAGGGCTGCTCTGAATCTCTTAAAATGAACCATTCCAGAAATGTACCCAATAGAATGAACTCTGAGAGCAACATGATTTTAGAGCAGCAATGAACTTATGCCTAAGGCATAATTCACTGGTCCCTGGTGCAGACCAGGAATTTCTCACACAAAAAGCCTGTATCTGTCACAGTGGAATTTTCCTACTATTCTAGTAAATTCGCTATCAGATAAAGCGCTGACATGATGATTTTGTCAACTGATAATCAACAATTGCTTCAAAACACTGAATTGTTATAAAATATTGAATACTTGAAAAATAAGTCAACCCCTGAGCTGCATAAATGGCTTTTAAATACTTTTGAGCAGGAAGGGCAGTGAAATAAGATGATCATCAATGTCTCCTGCAATTTTAGGGATGACTTACACCTCAGTATCTTAACTGAGAAAGAGTGCTGCAGAATAGCCGACATGGATAAGAAACAAAGCAAGGAAAAGCTATTAAAAAAACCCAAGAAAATCAAAGGTGTGTGTACAAAGGCAATGGGACATCTGATGTAGAAGGTCCCTATTTCCCTACTACTAGGCCCCTATGTCACTTCTGCTACAGTCAGCGTATTGGCATGGTCCCTATGCGAGGGGACCGCTGTCCAGCAGGTGACCAACTGCAGCCATTTACCCACTGGCCATTCTCACTTGCCCACACCGAGTGCACTTGTGTACTCAAATGATTTGCCTCTGCACTCAGCCTGCTCCACTGGCACCTTCAGTTAGCTGGATTTCATCATCAAAATGGGATCTTTATGTGAGAAAGCATCAGAGAGTGAGGCACCTGTTCTTACTTGAGACGGACTGACTTCAGTATAGGCTGCTATTTATAAAGCTGTGCATCTAAGTCTCATTCCTTAGAATTCATCACTTGTACATGTTTATCTTTGCATTCAGGTTCTCCCTAACACACCATTAAATGCAAATCACCTGTCTGGATTCCCAGCTGGCCAGTTCGGGAACTAGACACCATGAAATCCTGATCCCAAATGGGAGAGTTCTGGCTGTACACTTCTTCTTCCAGCATTGACAGAAACCTAGGCACAAAAGCAGGTGAAATAGTAACAGGAGTATTCAAAACAGGTTCATTTTCAGAATAAGCATTTGCAACTTTTTTAAACTTAAAAATATTTACTGACTCAGTAAGAAAATGCTGTTGGCCAACTAATTTTTTTAAAATAACACACACAAAAATCACAAGGCAGACTAGACATTAAGCATCCTACTTCAGCAGAGTGCTTTCACCTATGAAAATTTATCTTTGATTATAAGCAATATCTACCTAATTCACAAATGCAGAAACACTTGCAAACTACTTTTACAGGACAAAACTGTATACTAATAAGAAAGTTACAAGTTGACAGATGCCAAGGTACCCATGTTATACAATGATGACAAAATATGTCTATTTTGACAAACTAGTGTTTTGCAGATGCACTTGTTTTCTGCTTCTTACAGATTTATAAAATCCCAGACTTAGTTACTAATAATGCTCTTAAGAAGATATTTTCATTCCTTTAAACATCCTATTGTAACATTTAATTGCATGTTTGCACTTGCGTAACAGTATTTTTAATCTTACTTTGGTACATTTAGAGAAACAGTGTTATTTAAACCTCTTCCAGTATTATTATATGTGAGAGAAATTCCACAGATAAGACTATCCAGCACGCTTGCCTTCCCAAGGCTAATACATCAATACCCTCTGAGAAGCAAGATAGCTGCTTATCCTATGTTGCACAAAGCAGGGTTTCAGAGCAGAAGTTGATACGGCACATTTTTACTCTCTAGAGTCATCTATATGTATAGAAGCTGCCCAGGTGAAACCAACAGACTGTTGAGTAAGACTTCCTTGAACAGGATAAGGATCTTCAGGATCAAGTCCTACTCTTGTATTTGATATATAGGACATTTATATCTAAGCACAGCAATGCGTGGTGTTTGCTGCTATCTATACAGCTGATAACAGCTAAAAAGTTTGTAACAGCTACTTGGCCATCTCTGATGGAGCAGAAGCACCGAACAAACTTCAGCCACGGCTACATTAATAGGCAGCCCAGAGGATCTGTGTTCAGACTGCTCGGTGACTATTTCCTAGGTACACACAGACATAAGCTGTGGGTGCTCCCTTTGTCCAGGAAGGAGCTGCCAAAGCAGCCAGGAGCCCAGCACTGATACCAAGCACCAGCTCTGTGCTCTGAGCTGCAGCTACTCCACAGGGTTCACTGCCTAACACCAGCAGAGAGACAAATGCAGCCCATAAAAGATTTAAAACATTATTCCTGTTTCCCACAGATCATCAGCAAACAGTGCTCGTCTGTCTTTTCTCCTCCCCCCGCCCCCAGCAGAATATTAAAAGGAACTGCAGTGAATAATAATGCTTTTCAAATTATTTATCTAGGGTGTAAATGGCAGTGGAAACATAGGGGCATATGCACACCTCCTTCCTCCGCAAATCTCCTCCTTGTATAAATGCAGTGTCAAATCCTTTTTTATACCTATTTCAGGACCAGATCATGATCCTATTCCCAGATATACACAAACATTCCTGTATCAGTAGCAGTCTACCCCAGAGACAGTTTGCATTCTTCAAAGTGGTAAAAGGCGCTATCAATAATAGTAGCAGCAAAAAAAATCTTGCCTCTACTCAGCTTTGGAAAGCTCATGTCTTTCATTCCTCTGAGTACTAACCCAACTCTAGCCCCAGACAGTAGCTTGCATAGCATCACTGCCACCAGCTCTCTTGTAGATTCAGTTCCTTTGTCATTCGGAGGCACAGACTTTTAAAATATGGGTGGCAAGAGAGCCAAGCCACCTTCACAAAACAGGGATATTTTAAGAGACATGTTCTTTTCAGGACGCATACACTGAATGAATCCGTTACCACCACCACCCTTAACCAGCAGTAAAATGTTTTAAATCAAGGACTGTCGAAGTTGAGCATGTTTCGAGACAATTCATTCTTCCATATAGCGTATATGTAACACTTGCCATTTAATTGTGAGACATTATCATCCATATTCCACTACTGGAACAGGTAGTCAATATGAAATTCTTCAGTTTAGGATTCACTAATGCAGCTTTATACCAACTAGTCTCATCTTTGCCAAATGCACACGTCTATTCTGGGGGTGGGGTTACTACTTGTTCCCTATTACAATGTTGAATTAAACTGAAATTCTTAGCTGTATATAAACTCCAGTACAACACTCCCTTTTTTACTGCTCTGTCACAAAAGCAGAAATGTTTTGGAGATCTGGAGCTATGTTGCTTCCAAGAACTACAGAAAAAACAATTAGGTGATCAACAATACCTGCTAACAGGCAATAAGCACAATCCCCCAGCAAGATGAATAATCCTTTTTATAAAGTAAAGCCCTAGGACAAAGGAAAACAAGCAGCTGTGTACATAAAATACACTAGTATAAGTTATGGCAGAAAAGAAAACTGCAGTATCTACTTGTTATTGAATAAAAGAAGAAACTATTTTAAGCTGTAGGTAATTTCTCCATTTCCATGCCGAAGTTGCATATTACTAGTTAACCTTCAGTGCAGGCACATTGCGACCCCTTACTTTGGAAAATGGGTGAGGATTAGTGTTCGTTTCTCTTGAGGAAGCTTGTCTTTTTCCTGCCTGGCCTGCTCCAGCAGTTGCCGTCTCATTACAGTAAAAACAGAGCGAAGCAATGTCCTACCAAAAACCTGGGTGGTTTCATACCGAGGTAGACTGTCACAGAACTGAGGGACATTGCAATAACAAAGCCACCTGTAAAGGGGAAAAAAGCCAGGTAATTATCACCATCTAACATACGAATTAATGCAATAAAACCACTACCCACATCATTTATAATGCAGCTGAGAGCTATATGACCATATAAATCTGTTCCACATCAAGTCTGGACAGAGTTAAGCAGCACTTATATTGCCCAGTTTTTTAAATAAATGACAGACAAGTAATTCTAAATCTCCATATATTCTTTTTCTCTGCAGTCTAGTTTCCACAAAGCACTCTTGCTCCAGACACTAACCATAGATCACATAAAATTCAAGTTGATGGCAGGTATTCTCTCCATGTTCAGCCTCCCACGTCTCTTGCCTGCAGCTCCAAAGACCCTTACGCTGGCCTGTTTTCTCCTCTTTAAATGTCTACATTTTCCCACATAGATGCAAAAGGGGCAACACTTTTAATGAGCTCCAGCCCAGTCTGACTGGACACCCACCAAGGTCTTCCTACTAGCTGGCTTCTTCCCATTACATCCTTACTTGATAGTCTTTCGGTTACCAGTCACTCCCTCCCTAATGAGTTTTTCATTAAACACATGAAATAGAGCATGTCATGTTACTCTTCTTGGAAAAGAGACCATGGTACCGACGCGTGGGTCATATCTGTTAATTTTACAAAGATTTTGATACCTGCATGTAACTGAACAGTTAATGGTAGCAGAATCAGACTGCAACCATTACGAAAGCTCCAACCATGAAAAGAAAATGGTAAGAACTGGGTGCAAACAGACTGTGCTGGATCCTGGCTGTGTTTTCTCATCTGGACCCAAAGTATAGCCTGTCTTAAAATGCTCTCCCAAACTCTTGTGTCTTAATCTTTGAAAACACAAGAGTTGCAAAAGAGTTGCGAGATACTGTTGTTTGCAGACCTCTACTCCCTGTTCTTGGCTGATAAAGCACACCTCTCGATGTGTGTGAATCTCTGATACAGTTTCACTCAAACCAACAGGTTTTCAAATGAAGCTCACAATGACAAGTTAGATCAGCTGGGAAGAGGTTGCACTTTGGGTTGGGAGGAACCTTAGGGACTGCAGGCAGGAAGGTTTGAGAAACCACAAGTGACAAAATGATTAACAACGAAAGTCACCACCCGGAGCCAATGCTAGCTATTGATTCCCAATAAAAGTTGACTCCAACCACAAACAAATGGAGGTCAAAACCCACCAAACATGGTCTTAGGAGCCCCGTGATTATCAGTAACTGTTCTTTACACCAGATAGTTATTTGAGGTACAAGTCATCTGAGAGCATTCCAGTTGGACACAGACACATGCAGTCTGCTCTATCACCAGCCACAGTCTCAACTCACACCAGGATCTGCAGTTCTCCCGCAAGGAGCTGAGGTTTGTCAAAGGAATGGCCACCAGGAAAGCAGGCAGAAGGGCAGTGCTCATCCTCAGCTAGGAAAGGTGTCCCTGGCCATTCCTGAGAACAGGCATGCTGGCAGATACCTTTGTTAACTGCTGTCTGTGCTCACGGACAGCATGTTAACTGTTGCCTGTATCAGCAACCTTAACTGCTGTCGCTGTGCTAACTGAAAAAGGCACTGCACTATTGTTACGAGAAAAGCAAAATTAAGAGACACCCAGCTTTTTATCCTAGCTCTTCTTTCCTCCAAGTTACTCCCTTGAATTCTGACAACATATTAAAAGGTCATAACAAGAACTATAATTTTAAGGAACTTACTACCCATTTAGCACACAAGCACTTTCAAAATCATTTCAATTTTTCAAATCTGGTTTGGTTTCAAAGCGTGATGCTTTACCATGCTTAATGTTATCTTTTCTTTTTGTTTTAATTAAGTTGAATTACAAATTGCCTGAATTTTATCTTACATGAGGCTCCCATCTTAACAAGTCTGAGAGCAACTCTGCAACACAAGACATGCAAAAGCATTGTCAGATACAAATGTTCACTACCTCTACTCCCTGTTCTTGGCTGATAAAGCACACCTTTTGGAACACAAGGATGCATGTGAAACTCTGATATAGCCTCAATAAGATCTTCAGGTTTTCACAGAAATCCCATGACTGCAAGCATTCACAAGGGGCACCTGTGGCATACAGGTACTGGTGTATTCCTGAAATGTATACATGCCATATGTGTAAGCAAGATTTGTAACAAGCAAGAGCACCATTACCTGGTATAATTCACTTTATACCCTGCAATATCATCATTGGGCGATCTTAGTCTTCGCTGAGAAGGTGTCTCCAGGTGCCAGTAGTTAATGCGGTTCAGAAACATTTTAGCCAGTTCCACTATTGTTTGCCTTTCCTTTGAGGGTAAGTGGCTAAATTTGTACTGCACAAAATTATTCACACCCTTAAAACAGAAGAAAATTATGTTTAATTGCTTAGCCGTAATTTTTGCAGGAGCACCCTTGAACATTCCTCACTTTCTGTTTATTAACCCTGAATTTGCATTACATGGGAAATAAAACAAATACCAGAGACCATGAACCCCTTACTCAACTACTTTTGTAGCTGCCAAAGGCTGGTTCCCCTGTAAAACAGCAGCAGGTACATCCAGATGTTTTATTCTATCTGCCTCCAGCAGCTGACTTAAAGGGCAAGAAAGGAAATTCTTTATTCTTCCTTGCTTCTTGAAGTAAAAAACTTCAGTGAACACAGAAAGATCTGGTAGGCTTTGTTCTACATGCTTACATATGCACAATTTTGCTGATAACCATGCTGCATGATTTATTTCCTCTGTAAATCAAGTATAAACTACAAACCTCCCCAGTTATTTTTCAGTAACTAGGGCTTGTGGACTTCTAGTTAAACTTGTGAATACACATCATATTATTTCTTCAAAAAGTGCTAGTATTTCACAAGTTTGTCCTCCCACTGTGCTTTGCATACTGTCCACTTAAAAAAAAATGCTGAAGATAGTTAAAATGTGTGAAGTTCTGCAATATATATACACAGATTATGTTATAAATGAATTATAATACTGACGCTTAGAAAAAGATTCTGTGTGACTGAGTTGCTGAACTGCTAACAGAATTAAAAACCTTGGTCTATTGCAAGGGAAAATCATTGCAAAATACAGCATAAGAAGAATTACCCTTTCATCTCTACGCGTTACTTTCTTAGGCAAATCGAACTGTATGAAGAATGTGATGAAAAAATATATAGTACAAAACTTTTTAATAGTATATTTTAATGACTAGAAGTGTATGAATATTACACACACTTATTCTTTGTTCATACTCAATCTAAAGGAGAACTTAAGGTGAAGACTCCCCAGAAATTCAGCAATGAAGTGTTTTGATTTTCCTAAATTATAAGAAGTGAGAGTTGCAAGGAAATAATTACTGCACGTAACAGACTTCACATTTAAAATACTCTGTTTAACAATAGAGCATCCATTCATCTACTGATGGGAAAACATTGAGCTCCCATTTCAGTGAGGTATGTGAGCCTCTGCATAGTCTCCCTGGAGCTAATGGCCCACTTCTGTGCTAAAAGTGCATTCTCAGGAGCTTGTTTAACCAAATCTGAATTTGTCATATGTTCTTCATCCTCTGAGAGTTACAAAAGCCTCAGTTATTCTTTGTTTTCGGCTCTGGTTTTTGTTGTCTAGTCTTTGAAAGAGAAGGCTATGATCTCACTGAATTGGATTGTTCCAATTGATTTATAGAAAACAAGTGTCATTTTAATATTGGATTTCAAAACTTCAACAGCATTTTTCATCACTTGAAACAAAGAAAGATTAGAACTAGCACACATGAAAGCAATATTTTAAATTCATTCTCTAAAACCACAAAAAATGTCAGTTTCATTAAAGCATAAGATGAATGATGAAAAAAAGTCAAATAATGTAACTATTGTGCCAACACTAAAGGAGAAGCAGCAGCAGGTCTCCTACAGTCGCCCTCTTTGTAATATACAAAGTAATATACAAAAGCATGTGCACACTGCCTAAAATGCCATATTTTCAAAACCAGTGTTTATGTTTAAAAAAACAAAAGGAAAGAAAAAAAACAAAACCCAAAACAAACAATCTCCCCTCCAAAAAAACATGAAATAATTAAAAATAAAGCAACACACAACCAAACCCATGCTTTGACTGTTTACCTGTTCAATACTGGGTTTCTCAAATGGGGGACTCTCCAAAGATCCTTCTACTACAGGTTTTCCCATTTGTAAAATGCACTTCCTCAAAAGCTGTTGAAAATACACAAATTTTTAGAAATTAGGATATTTGTATACATGGGGTCAACTGAAGGCAGAGGTGCTCAACACACTGCAAGCAGCAGTGAAGATCTCCTGGCTATATATTGGCTTGTTTAGTCATCTGAATTTATAGCTACTAAACTACATTGTGAATGCAGCCTCTTAGAAATGTAAGGAGCTTCTCCAAGCAAATGCAGGCAGCTAAGTTAACACTTATGTCAACTGACTTTTCCTGATATGCAAGTGAAGATGGTTATTACGGCTTGCAGGATGCACAGTTTAGACATGGGACTCAGGGTCAGCTCCTTGACCATCTGGATGACTTTGTAGTAGTATATGGTACATTGCAAGTACCAGAATGTCTCACCCATACTTAACTACTAAAGCATCACGCTGGAGAAAAAGTCTCACCAGATAAAGTCAACATATGCATAAGGGGCAGTGACATTGGCTTATATGTGAGAAAGTGAAAAACCTGAGATGATACTACACAAGTGCAACTTACTTTGAACAGGTAGAAATAAACTTGCTTGGTGTCTGCATCTTCTTCTTTGTGGACACAGGTGAACAGATACTCTACGTCCAATACGATCCCCAGGAGCCTATTCATTTCTTCTTCAGATACATTCTCCAGGTGAGAAACATGAGCAGCTAAACGAAATAAAAATCGAAACCTGTAAAAAGCCTGCTGACAGAACCAACAGCACAAGTATTCCCTAAGATATCTCAAACGAGGTCATAATGGTAAAGGCACTGATCCTTTAATAACCTACTTAAACTTAACATCTTCTCAGAGGTAACTGAAATATGCGCCACATCGGAGCAATGTGTAAAGGTAGTCCAGTGGTGGTAATTCCCACAGCAGAGGAAGGATGGCTGGTAGGAATCACAGAGACTGTTAGTTCTTAAAACAGACCACAGAAGTCCTGTTGATACAATTATGTTTCAATATATAAATAACTACACACATTTTTGTCCAGGTACTATGCTTTTGAGACAAGGTTTCTTGACTAAAGAAAATAAATCCATAATTCCCATAAACTTGGTAATCCAGGTGTCGAGTAGCACCTTATCCTGTGAAGAGTAAAAAACCAAACCAAACCAAACAAAATTCAGCTCTATAAATACATTTTTTGTTTTAAACTGGACATTATTGGCTAAGTCTCTTACTTGCATATCATGTAGGGTCAAACTATGCTTTATGCACACTATACTAACAAAGCTGTTGCAGATTGTACGTGCTCATTTGTTCAGAAGTTTAAAAAAAAAAAGCATCTTTTAATGTAGCACAATTTCCAAGTGACAAACTCCCTTTTATCAACTCCAAAGGCAAATAGAGTTCCACATCTGTAATTTCCAAAAGCTTGAGGCTTCTGCAAGTGAAGCGGGACATTCATTTCAAGCTGGTTTGAACAAATGGCCTCAGGAAAAGAGAAGGCAAAAAACCCCAAGAAGTCAATTCCCAGAAAGAGGATATTTGCATTACAAAAAGCAATGACCTTCTCTGACTCCAGGCCAATGTATGTGGTTATGCACATCCTTTCCTCTGAAAGGACAAGAAATATCATTTAAAAGAAAAGGAAAATTATCTAAAAGGTTGGGCATATTAGTTTTTCTATAAATTTAATCAACATTTATTTCTTAGATAATTATTATATTATCTCAGCTATACCAATGTTGTTAGGACCGGTAAGAAATTTTCAAAGCAAATCTGATTCCTTAGTGAGGGAGGAAGTAGGGAGAAATAACATGACTTGAAAACAATCATACTTATTGGCCACCCAACAAAGATGGTTTGTTTGGGGAAGGTTGGTATGACACCTGCCAAAACATTTAAAATTCAATAAATTTGTTCAGCTTCAAGTAGAAAGGACACCGTAGCTCAGGATGTTAGAAAGATGCCAGCAACTGTTTCCACTTAAATGAACATTTATAATATAGTGTCTTAAGTTCTGAACATACGCTCAGAAACGAAAGGTGGAGAGGGGGCCATCATGAGCTTTCTTCAAGGTCAAATATTCAGCATTCTGGGCAGAATAAAACCAGCTGTCTGTTCTTATCTTGCAAAAGTAATAAATTCCCTTCTAGATAAGCAGTGCATTAGAAATTGATAACATACCGAAGAAACCTTGCACTCAACTAACAAATGAATAAAACATCAGCACAAGAAGCTACTTCCACGCAGTTTCTATAACAATACTGAAAGTTACCTTGATTACTTAGTGGCTGTATTTAAACATTTTATTAAAGTAGAAAATTATTACCCACAAGGTGAATCTAAAAGCAACATAAGTGTATTACCATCATGCATTTACTACCTGTTACCATTTACTGTAGAGTCACCAGTGTTGCTACATCAGCCCAGCAAAAACTATCTTTCTTCAGATGTTCACAGTCCATTCCCAAATTCTTGTGGCCATTAGCAAACCTTTTATTAAATCAAAGCTTTTGTACAGTGACATTAAACACTGCATTACTTTTGACTAGTATTATAACAGTCCCATTCATCTCTATTACCCAACCAGTACAACCTTCCTCAGCTGCTGCTGTGCTTGCAAAAAAATAATTACAAATTAAAACAAAAATCACAAGTATAAGTTGCTACAGTACGCAGAAGAAGAAAGCAAGCAGAAAGAACAAGGCCGATGTAACGATATGAAGACCTGAAAAATACCGAGTTATTTTAGTCGTGCAACTTCAATAAGCAAGTACTTGAGTGTATGGTTGAGGAGTAGTGAGAAAATGGGTTAATGAGGAAAGTGTCCAGAGTCTCTCTCAAAATTAGTGTATACGTAAAAACACTAGTAATCTACATAGGACAGGCAAACCAAGAAATACTTCAATATGCTACATGAAGGTGCGTAGCAGGAACTGAAGATGGTGCTCGGGAAAAAAAGGTTGACTGAGTGTGTATATAGTGTACTAACATATTAATGAATTTGTTCTAAAAGTCAATCAAGACTGAAAATGTTTACCAGCAGGAAACCGCACCAAACCAATTAAATATGAAACAGAAAAAAGCCTCTATGTAACACGTGGTCTTGATGCTGGTGGAGAATGAATTCTCATGACACCCAAGTCAGTCACCACTTTATGGCAGTGATGCAATACACTGTCCAAATAAAAGAAATATTCGTTAAAAACCCAGTATTGAGACAAGCTGTGGGGATGAGCCACAAATAGAAGAACACGAGTCATATGTAAGCAGGCAGAATACAAGAAAAGAATACAAAAAAGAATACAAATCATAGGCACGTAGACAGAAATAAGCTCTATAAGTTAATACATGCCACCAAACAGCTTTATGCACCAAAAACTGCACTGCTTGAAGATTGAACCATATCCCCAAAAAGAAATGTCTCAAACAAGACTAATGTCTAGGATTGCCTTCAGAAGAAAACATTAAATTAAAGAAAAATGCAAAATGCCAAAACATCCTATATTTTACATCAGGTACGGCTTTAACCAGACAGGAATTTCTACAATGCTATTTCAATGTCTCTCCAAGGAAGCGAAAATGCAGTGCAGATGATAATCTGAAGCCTACGCACCTTGTGGTCAGTCTGGTTTAAAAGGCATTCAGCAGCAACATGCTAATTTAGAGGAGACGAATAGGAAAATTATCTTGGAAAACACTACTGAAAGACATATTTCTGCCAGTAGTGTGAAGAAGCACACAGCAATTCATTTCAGTTATTTCAAAGGAAACATCATCCTTATAAGCTGCAATCAAAAGAATAAGAAATTTTACCTTTTCTAAAGCTAGCAATATATAAAATACAGTTTGTTCCATAAGATATATTTGATGGTTTCATAGTACTGATTTTCCCTGGTTCCCTACCTAAAGAGTCATTTAAGATTTTTTTAATAGAGCAAAAACAGCCTCAGCCTTTGAAAGAGCTGAGTTTTTCTACAAAATACATAGGATCCACAAATTCTGCTGAAGAAGTGGGAATTGACAGACACAACATCTCATAATATTTGGGTGAAAAAAAGAAAGAACCCTTTCTTCAAAGGCCACAAATGAAAGGGATGGGTAATACAAGCTACCCTAACTGCATAACCAAAAGCAGCACAGAGAAGCTGTGTGATGAAAGACTGAAAGTGACTTGACTAAAGCCACCAAACTTTCTGTGATACTATGCATTTGTTAATCTTCTCCTGCAAGTAAACCCAGAGATTTGGGACATCAGGAAAAGGAATGAATCTGCTGAAAAGCCCAGAAATAGATCAGATGTAGTTAGAGCATAAAAAGAGGGGAAAAGTAGAAATAAATCCCAATTTAAAAAATCCTACACAAAGTACAATATTATTTTCAAAGACAGACAAATCAATGATCCATTGAGAAAGTCTTAGATTTTCTTATTTCACTGTCCTAAGTTTTGGACATCAACAAAATCAAATATCAACTGCTTCTTTTCAATTAGTTCTGAAAATTATTTTAGCTCAGTTATTATTCAATATTTGCTATTATATACAGAAAAAGTAATCAGCTTTTATTCTGGATGCACAAATTCTTATACAAACAATACAGCGATTCACTACCCTTTTTCAGGCTTTGTGGGTAAATTATTATTATTATTATTCTCAAAAAAAAGCCAAACAAACCCACAACAGTATTAGAGAGTGGATTTTGAGCAGCTTTTTCTAAGATCTGCAAGCTGTCTGCACAGCACCTTAAGACAGTGCTAAGACGTACAACCTTAGAATTTTTTTCTGTGACACAGAATAGGCACAGCTCTTTCTGTAGGTAAGAGAACATTGCTTTAGCAATGTTCAAGAGTATTTTATAGCTTATTCTGCAGTAAGAAAACATAATACAGCCTACAGGAGAGAGTCATTCACGTTGTGACTAAGGCTGCTGACAGATAAAACCATGTGAGGTTTACGTGTATGTTACACAAAGTATTAAAATTGTTATGGGTAGCTTAACAGTGCTTTCGCATTTTAGAAAGTATGGGTTGTTAGAAGTTGTACCTTACTTCATTTTCTTCAAAACTCATTTTAGGACATTTTGATCTAAGTTATGGACATTAACACCCAACAACCGTAACCCCCATCTCTAGGGCTTGCCATGGCATCTTGACTTTTATCTCGCAAGAGCAGAGCAGAGATTCCTGGGTACAGGCACGTGAACTGCGGAAGCAAGGCCAAAGCTTACCGAGCGCGTGGCTGCAGCTGCGGCAGGGCTCCGCGAGGCTCACCACTGCCTGCTGCAGCTCTGCCCGGGGTGGTGTGGGAGGTGGGTTGGGGTTCTTCCACCCATTGCATTTACAGGATTCCTCAGCCTGAAATCAAAGCAAAGCAGTATAGATCAACACTGTGAAACACAGGAACTTGCTGAAACTGCATTATTTCAAGGGCGATAAAAAGTAACATTAGCTATAAGTTGGGGTTTTTTGATTTGTTTTGGTGGGGGATTTCAGCGTGTTTTATTATTGTTGTTGCTTTGTTTGTTCTCTTTTTATCTACCACACAGCTAGGCTTTATTTTCTAGAAATAGTCAGAAATAGAATAGTACCCCAAATAGAGAGATTAACACTGTTCTAGTAAGCTTGGAAAAATACATACACAAACTCTGGCTAATTTCTTTACAGAAGCCCTCACTAGTGGAAGAAGTATCCAAACATTTACTGGTACAACAACATGTACAGCTCCTGCCACCAAGACAAACACAAACAGGTTATCAAACACGTTTATCAATATGTCATCAGCTGTACCGGCAACAAGGAATCACGCAACTAAAACCAAGCCTATGACAACCCAAGAGGGTTAACTACATACTGAAATAAGCAAATAATAACTTCACTATCAGAGAGTGCTCTCTGAGGCAAGATTCGGACACAAAAGCAACAGATGCCCAAGAGAGTGACACTACCAATGCAACTTGATGCTTACTCTAAGAGGTTTATTTACACTTACTAAGTATGAAACACCACAGATAGACTGCAGTTAAAAGGGGTGGCCATGAAGGGAGAGGTTGTGACTTTCGTAACTGTGTCTCAAATTACTCAGAAGTTCGAAGTACCAATTCTAGTTATCCAAATTCGAGCTTTATAGGAGGGGATTTTCTTTTGCATATCTAAAATAACTTGGTTATTTTGTCAGTAAAGTATTTCTAACATGATTCATGCTCCTATTTGAACATCTAATTGGAAGGAAAACATGCTTTTCTGCTGTTCAGGTATCTGTGCACTGGGCTGTCACAAGATACTCATGAATTTGCACTGCCAAGACCTCAGCGAGGAAAGTATGCTAACTGCTGCATAATATTTATGACTGAAACAACCTTAGCAGGAAAAATTGTGATGTTAATATATCCAGCACTAAAGTGCAATTTTTCAAACCCAATTCTGAATATATTTAATGCAATCTATTCCAGGAACCTATTTCATTTTCCTTTTATGTTTCCAAATCCCATCTTACCTAAGGAAGAAGCACCCAGAAGAAGCAGAAAGGATCACAGCTTGACAGCTCCTAAGACTGACAGCTTTGATGATTGATGATAAATTGTTCTTCTAAACTAATTTCAATATTCAGCAACCTGAGCATTAAGAAAACTGCTGCCTGCATTTTGCCGAGCACCACACGAGGTTTTTACCATCTCTAATGTTTAAGTATTTATCCAGCTGGAGTCCTGGCCCCTGATGCCATAGCCTCTGCCCACACCCGCGGCAATCTGGCAGATACTAAGGGATGTGAGTGGCACTTTCGGCAGCCAGAGATGACTCAGAAATCCACCTGCAAGTGCCCAGCAAAACCACTTCCACATACTTGCCTTGGAAAGGGGACAACCTACATTGCCTGAACCCCCTGGCTCTCCAAACTCACTGCGTGGGTGCCGACTGCCTGCCACCACATGTATTTATAACGTGGCATCAGGGGAGTTTCAGTATGAAATAGGGGCAAGATTAAAACAGGTTTGGGGTATTCTAAGTCTCATAAAATGTAATCTCTTTTCTATGAGTAGTATGATTGGCAGGGAAGTGAAAAAGGCCCAATGTTATTTTACAGCAGAAACCACCTCTTAAAGTTTCACAGGCATGGAGCCAGTTTTACTCTTGTTTGTTATCCAGACCTACATCACCTCTTAAAGTTTAATGACTAGAAAGGGAGACCAGTGATTGAGTGATACCTGCGAACCAAGGACTGCCCTGACACAGGGACTTCGGACATCTGTGAGATGGTGTGAAACCCCACTTTCAATGAGCGTCTCAAACTAAACAAAAATCAATGCCAAATAAGCTGTCCACATTTGCTTTGTGGGAGAGGCAACTGTTTCCTTGCTGTGAAAGTTTTTGCAGTTAAGACAAGGATAAAGTAACTGCCACACTAAAAAAAATATCAGAAAATGACATCATGGCCAAAGAAAATTCAAAAGACAATCGTATCGAAGTTCTCAAACAAAAACTGATTGAATATTATGTTAGGGAAGTAAGATTTGATCCTTCCCACGCAGCTGTCCAGACAAATGTTCAACACTGTAAATTACTGACAAATACCATGCTTTTTATTAATTGCCTTAAATCATACTAAATGAAACACGTCCAAAAAAAACCACACCCCTCAAACTAGGCTCATGATTTTTGAGAAGTATTTCTCCAAGTGGAAGCAGCATTTCACAGAAGCTCACCACACAGTGTTTACTATCAAGCCTAAAAGCTATCAACAGTGAGTAACTACACAAACTTTAGTGTCACACAATAATTAACAGCAAAGATGCAAACAAACAGATGTACGAATCATGGTAACAGCTCAGTTAAACTGCCAAAAATAAATATCAACCCACCCACAGAAGAATAAAAACAGCGTGTTCAACAGCAGATTTTTTCTGCCCTCAGTAGTATTTCCTCGCCAGATCTTTCTGAAGCAGCTGTTAATTTGTATTGTTCAAATTATTCCAGAGACCTTTCTCAAACAACTACCAGGGTGGCTTTTTTTTTTTCATTAATCTCTCCATAAAACACCAGAAGCAGCATAAATGTTCTGTTAACCAAGGGGAAACACAACCCAAAAAGGTCCTCTTTAGAACTGAGCTTTCATTGTAGATGTTGACAGTGCAAGTATTTTGCAGTGAATACGCAATGTGCATTCCTCAGTGGCTTAAATTGCTGAGTTGTTTTAAGGCTTCCATGGCGTTTTGTTCATTCAATCCTTTCTTTTACTATCTTCAGCTTTTTCCTTTCTTTCTTCCTTTTTTTTTTTTTAAGTGCCACTCATCTGCTTTTCATTAGAAAATAAAGTATGACTTCACCTCCACAAAAACTTACTTTAAGATCAAAACAGTTTCGAGGAGAGGAAGGAAAAGAAGCATTTGAACTAGCACACCCAGTCCTTGTTTTCTGGGACATCTGCATGGTTTTGATAAAGCCACTGGAGAAAGTTGGGGACTTCTGCATTATTGAAGCCTGCAAAGTAATGACCGTTATCTTTGCAGGCCCAGGGATCACCAACACTGCACCTTCATTGGCAGTTTTTAATAAAATTGGATGAGTGCAATGTAATAAAACACAACATTTAGATGCTGTTGTCCCCACCTCCCAAAAAAAAGTGACAAAATTATGTACATTTTGTATTGCACAATATAGTTTTAATCTTTTTTTTGACCCCTTCCACATTAGGTTACAATGTGAGAAATCGAATTATCCGATAGCTCTAGGCAGTGAAAACTGCAACTCTGGACAAACTAAAGTTACTGTTTCCTTTCCAATACTGAATATACTGATAGCAGCTCAAAAATAAACAGTGAAAAAAACCCAGCACATTTTAACATACATTGTTAGCATTTTATTTAAAAAGGAAGCACCCAAAAGTTACAACATTGCACATTTCACCACTTTTAAGTGGCTTTCAGGTGTCTAAATGATAATCAATAAATGAGGAATGTTACAGTAACTTACAGACTAAAACATTCCTCCCTTTTTCGGGAGGAACATGCAAGACAGTCCGGAGTTGCAGTTTTCACTGAATTTCAAAACAGCTGTTATGCTGGGCTCGCTTTCCAACTCAAAATCATACAGGTTGCCGTTTCGTAACCGAGATGCAAAGCAGACTCAACAGATTATATATACACAACATTAGAAACCTTGCTACTTCCAGAAAGCATAATTATTCTAGAAAAAATATTTTTCTACCCAAGAGTCACGTAAAATACCCTGTGAGTTTTTTCTTGCAAGCAAGAATCTCAAACTGATGCTTCCAACAAAGCACATCACACAAACTATAACAAATACATGGATGAATTTAAAATACATATTTTTCCTACTCAAATGTCCAGTACCCAGCAACCAGATAGTAAGACACTGCTTGGAGAGCCATTCATATGTATGAGGTGACCCATAATCAGTTCAATGTTCAGCTCAAAGGATCAATAAATGTTCTTTATTGATCAAACTAAGTATTTTATTCCCTGCATTTTCCAGTTTCACTTACAGAAGAGATGTAGGCTACCATATAAAGCTTTTATAAAGCCCAGTTCCCACCTTGTAAAGATAATGGTAGATTCCCTATTTAAATTAGAGGAAGATGCTTTAATTTGGCCTGTGACATCATAAAACAGATTCACCCCACTATGAAAATGATGTAGGAGGGCTTTAGATGTCCTGTATGTCTCCTTCTGCACTTCCGCAGAAAACAACTTCAATACAATTCGAGTTGAGCTTCAAGGATCTGTACTCACACTGCACAGAGCCCAGCAGTAACATAGCCAAGTCTGCCTTGTCTTAATCTCCCTTATAAAAGTCAGAGAGGGGAAAAATATTTCATTACAGAAACAGTGGTGTTTACCCTGTGAACTTTTTTTTGCGTAGGAGCAGGAAAACTCCACAGAGGTCACTCTAGGATGAGAAGTGGGGAGAAGTGCCTCTACCAGATTTTACTGCAACCTCTGCCACTCACTAACTTGCCACAGGGCCTTGGCCAAGCCATCTCACCATAACCCTTCCCACTCTGTCCATTTTGTGTATCTAAAACACAAAGTCTTTCTTCAAGGAGGTATTATTCCCTGATACTTGTCCAAATGCCTTAGGCTACTGGGTTCTAACTGTATTTATAAGCATCCAGGCATTACTGTAAGATATATATACTGAGAAATAACCAATTTCACAGAAAACTTAGTATACTAAAATAGTACATATATCAACTTGTTTATAAGAAAAACTCCCAGTGAGACTGGAGAGAGTTGTATTTGCACATACTGTAAACCAATAGGGGAAAGAAAAAGCCAAGGAGACTTCCTCCTACATCTTCATTAAAAATGTTTATGTGTGTAAGTCACACAGTGCTGCTT